CCCCCCCCCCCCCGACAGTGGTTGCATTTGATCCAGCTATGTAGCTTGTGCCGAAAATCATCTACGGTCGGGATTCAAACCTTAAGATCTCTCGGTCGACAATGCTTTAGAGGCAACGGTGTTGCCACGGAACAATTGCAGCTTGCAGCGATAGAACGGTATAGTACGTATGCCTGTTTACTGAAACCCTGTGCCTAATGCCTATTTACTCCATGAATTTACAGCCGGTAATGTCTGTATCCTCAGGAAAAGCGTTAACAATTGTAGAAATAGAATTATGAAAACTTCGTAAAAAGGTGTTCTGCATTGTGTTTTCCGGAGGCTGAAGCCTAGCGGGCGTAATAGTAACCTTTTAATTTTCACTACCGCTCAAGGAGTTAAACGCTTGCCTACGCTAATCCAGAGCGATTTCTCCACGTAATACATATCAAAACATCAATCACTTCACGCTTTTAAGGTGCGTGACTCAAATCGAGTCTGGAAATTAATGCGCGTCACATCGCTTAAAGTGATTACAAAAAGACGACAGGCGACCAGTCCGCCGCGTCGCCGAGCGCGCGCTTCCTGATCCGCACCCGTTAAGGAGAGCTATGCGGGCGACGCGGCGGCGGCGATGGTGACAGTGACAGGGAAGGTGACTGTTACATCGTCGGTGGTGGTGGCGGGGACGGTGACGATGGTGGTTTCTGACGGTGGCGGAGATGGTGAGGATGGTGGTGACGGTGACGATGGTAGTGGAGGTAACGATGGTGGCGCTGGCGGTGGCAGACGCGGTGGCGGTGGCGTGGTCTGCTATGGCAGTACTGTCGGTGCGGCAAATGCAAGGTAGGGGGACGAAGGCGGTTGCGGTGACGAGCAGCACCTGTTGCTGTTGCTCCTGAAGCGGCCAATGATGCATAGTGGTGGTCGCGTACCGATCCCGCGATGAACAAAGTTTAAAATGCTTGAACGTCGGCGATCATTTAATGAAATATTATCTTGTTTACAATGAATCTTATCTTACATGGTATTAACATATTTTATACATCTTCATCCTTATGAAAGGTCGGTCTTTTGACCATCGTTCTGCAACAATCCCTTCCTCAACCAATTAACTATACTAGTATTTGAAATAAAACAAAACTATATGTATCTTTGTATACGTTTTAATATCTTTATATACTATTCTAACCTATTATAAAGAAACTAACATAATGAATGAGGAGAATTAATGTGTCTCTCTACAACCCTTACAAATACAAGAACTTTTTTCTTTTTTTATGAGTGAAGATATTATTGATATATCATTTCTTCACGCGCATAGCGCATAGCCTTGCTACTGATCGCCTATTTTCGAGAGAATTCCATTTTGCCAATTTCTTGTCCCTGCAAGTAAATTTAGCTGCTCTACGCTGAATTCTTTCCAAATTTTTACACTGCAAAATTTTGTGCGGATCCCAACAAATTGTTCCATATTCCATTATCGGTCTAACAAGCGATAAATAAGCAATTTCCTTCGCTTTTGCCGTACTCTTTTTTAAGGTGCGCATTAAAAGTGTACAGATCTCCAGGCTTTCCCTACAACAAAATCTACGTGACTTTTCCAGCTTAATTTACTATCAAACTTGTAACAAATTTACTATCAAAACTTGTAAAGAGGTCTTAAGTAGCAATAGACAAACCAGCTTGAAAGAAACTTAAAATCAATGAGGATTTTTTTATCTTTTAGTTAATACAGAACACTAAATTAATACATATTATGTAATGTTATTTAAGATCTATAATGTTCAATACTCTGTTATGTAAGCATACAATGATATGAAACTATATGCGTACCAACTCACTTACTCGCTTCTGCGGGAGGCCTTAGCCTTCAAAGGATCTTATAGGCTTAAAATTTAAAAAAAAATTATACTAACTTGCAAATTTGAAAGTGATCTTAAAATAATTGACAAGGTGCGTTTACTTTGCACTCGTTTTACTTCCATAATGTTATAAGAAGTTTCTAAATAAGAAGTTGCGCACCACTGACCAATGCTGCGAAATAAGGAATTTGGATGAAGCACAATATATGCTTGTACTACGAATTTTCAAGTCAAAGTAGTGGCACATTGTGTACTTATCAGAAGATGCACATTCAAGATGAATTATTAACAGATAATGAACATTGCTTTATTTCATTTAAATAAAGCATCTGACATTTACAGTGTTTTCACCCGTTTTTCTTTCGTCCAAATCCTAATTTTGCGTCGTAAGTATTTTATTGTGCCCAGCAACATTCTTTGCATGAGTTTATATGAACGTATGGAAAGCCAGGTTTTGCACGAACATAGCAAGAAGTTACAATGAGTGCTTTTTAGATAGGTCATTATTCAACGTTTATTTATCGTTATCTTAAAAAATTGTCCTTATAATGTATTTTCTTTATATATTAAAATTTTGTTGATAGATTAAAGAATGCAAAATTTAAAAAAAAACTGAAAAGAAAATGGTAAATTGAAATTAAATTTTAATGCATTCTATTCTGACAGGGTAATATCTAGCACTTATATCATCAGAGATTTAAAAGAATTAAAATACAATATTTAGAGAGCTTACTAATCTTGGAGCAGCTTTTGTGTATTCCTCTAGTCCTTCTCACATTAATAAATAATGCATGCAAAGCGGCTTATGATGGCACATTCATACATTCCCAAGTCTTTTCAACCCCCAAGAATGCAAGAGCTGTATCTTCATCTTTTTATCGTTCTCCACGGAGTGAGAAATATCCAGAAAGGGTGTGCGCGGGATCACGACCAACTCACAATAGCAGATACACGTACAGCTTTAATTTCCGTCCTGTGGCAAGATAACAGATCTCCAGAATCTCCTTTGCCCTCCCTCGCAAGACTTTCTCTCGAGGGCTCGTTAACCCAGACGGTGGCGGGCCGGATGCCCTGTTACCTGCAATCGAGACTTCGCTAGAAACATTAGCAAAAAGTAATACGCGGCGACGAATCGTAAATCTGACGAGCCACTTCTCCACTTCTTCTTCTTCTTCTTCTTCTTCTTCTTTTTCTTTTCTTCTTCTATCAGCCCTCTGGCACGTACAGTTTTGCCATGGCTTCTTTGATTATCTTTCTTCTGCCCAATTTCTATCTTGTGCTTTTCTTCGCCATCTTTTAACATATAGGTTTCTCAAATCTTCCTCCACCTCATCATTCCATCTTAATCTAGATCTATCTCTTCTTCTCCTACCAGCCATTGTAAAGTCTATCTTTCTAACGACTTTCTCTTCATTCATTCATTCGGATTAGGTGATCCAACCATTCCAGTCTGTTCACCTTAATAATGCAACTATTTTGGGTGGTTGCGTAGGCTTCCGCTGCCGGCGTTTCTATTATCTAGGCTATCCGGGACGAGCCGCGTCACTGGAATGGTGACTAACGTTTCTGGCATGATGGCTAACGTACTCACTGAAGAACGCGACAATACGCTGGCCGAAACGTTAGCCACCATGTCAGTGACACGGCTCATCTCAGATATCCTAGATAATACAACTATTTTGGGTGTTATAAATAGTTCTCACAATTCTACTTTGGTTCGGCTTCTCCAGATTTGATTTTCTTTGATCGAGCCGAATATTGTTCTTAAGATTTTTCTCTCCCTTACAGCGACTATGTTTAGTCTTTTCTTTGTTAGAGTCCATGTTTCACTACCATTCAATATCACTGGCTTAATTATGGTGTTATACAATTGTAGCTTAGCGGACTTTGAGATTTAGGGTTTTGAAGATTTGGTAGAGACTTCTATAACATCTATTACCTACCGCTATCTGACGAGGTACAGATGCTTTCAATAGCACTCCAGAACCGCCTAGTGTATTTTGGGCTATTTCTGTGTAAGCGTTTCAAACTGACATCAATGTTATCGCTTGTGTAAAAAAGTAGAAAAAGAAAACTTCGTTTTTCGACTTTTTAGTTTATGTTAATGGTGAAAGAAGTCTGAATGGTACACGTAGCAATTCCTAAATGCAGAGTAGAAAACCTTGCAGAATTAAACATCCTTTTTCATAGTGATATTTTATAACATTTTTTTAAATTTAAAAGTTGAAAAACTGCGTTAATGGATTTATTCCCGGCTTAAAACCACCCCATCAGGTTTAAAAAACAATAGTGATAAATTATATTAATTTGTTACATGCGTACATGTAATTTGTTACATTTGTTAAAGAAAGTACATTAATGTTGTTAAATATAAATAATATCTTCATTTCGGAAAACATTTAAGTAATAAATTTCATTAGCTAATTTATATTCACATTTTATCCTAAAATAACGTATTTTAATAGAAAAGAAAAAATATAATAAAACGCGGGTTTGCCCGTTCCGGGCCAGTGTGCGCTATTTTCAGGTCATCGGGGGCGAGGTGCGGCTAACGCTGCGTTTGACGGTGTGTCGAGATTTTGATAATTCTGAAAGTTCTTTGGGCGGAGAGTTATGCGAAAAACGATGATACTGTAGATGTTAAAAGTTGCCGAGGAGCAAAAAATGTCTTGGTTAATCAAGGAAGTAAGCGAATATGAATGTGAGAAATAACGATGGTTTAGAATCTAGATTTTACAGGAAGTATCACTTATCTCGCACAAACCATTTTGCACACTTTCACCAGATACACGCATCAGCCTAAAGTAACTCGGCAATAATCGTTCTACAAAACTAGAGTAATCCACAGATCTCTTCCTATAAAAGTTTAGCAAACACGGATAAGATTTATCAGCAATGCATCTTGATTTCTCCACCATTGTAACTTTAAGTTTTAAAGTGGCATATATTTTAAATTAGTTGAAGCTAGCATACGTTATTTATATTAGCAAAGGTGAGCTGAAGAGGGCAAAATAAATAAACAAACGGATGTGCGGACGAAGGCCAGAATGGGCTTCGCGCGTAGTAACTCACCTGCGGCCGAGAGCCCATCGCAGCCGGGATACCCTCCGGGCGCGCTCGTCCCGTTCACCACAGGCTGCGGCTGCGAGCAGCTGCCGCCACCTGCACACGAAGACACGCCACGTCAAACACGTTCCACAAGAGAAGTCACGAATTCGAGGAATCGCTTCACCACGCCAAACTTTTCGACTGTGTATTTTAGTGGCGACATTTTTAAATAGCATCGTAAAGCTACAGAAATGCGAAAAAGCAGCGCTCGTGACCCTGGCTTGACGAGCCATCCTCTCGCCGGAAGTACATTGGACGCCGATGCTTCATTGATTATGGGAACGCCGATGCTTCATTGACAACGAGGAACAGTTGGGAAGCTACAGATTTGCTATCGGTGAGAGGGAGGCTTGACCGACGATGGGTAACACACCAGGAATAAAAACTTCACTCATATTTGAAATATATCATCATTCTTATCAAGTACGTTTAATTCAGGTAGTTAGACTAAACAACGCCCATAGAAATTACCTTAGCGAGCCCCTATTCTCTTTCAGCAAGGATTTATACGAAGGAAGTTAGAATGACATATCTTAACGGTAATGTCATTAGCTGTTGAAGCGCCCTTAAACATTAATCATTATTGTGTATCTTAGCCTATCGTAATTCTCTAAAAAGAAAGAAAGAATAAAATAAATGGAAATCAATGAAGAGAAAAAGGAAAAGAAAGAACGAATGAACGAATGAAACTAGTGATGCTAAAACAGCACGTACTTTCTCGCCCGTTTTTTCACTCAAAAGTACGCAAAAAGTTTCGAAAAAGTACTAAAATTTTCGAAAAATTGTACATGACCTTATTTTAAAATCTATCTTTAAAGAACATATTTTATAACTTAAGCTACTTCGTGCTTGTCCACCAAGACCGTTACTTGTGCACCAAGAGCGTTATAGCGTGGAGCTGTGAATAGCATCATTAAATTCATATTTCCCTCGAAACCACGATTTTTTCGATCCAGGTAAGTTATGCAGAGTACATCGAGCTCCGTATCTATGGCAATAAGAAGCAGTATTAGAAAAAAAATTATTCCCTCTTACATGAAGAGGGATGTTTGTTAATTCATACAAATCTAAATTTTTATTCCGATCTTAATGAAACTGAGTACCCGTTCAAAACCATGGGAAAGTTACTGTATGCAAGAGTTTTCGTGAAAGTGTCCCTGACAATCTTTAAAAATTAAAATCCTTAAACCTTAAAATCTTAAAAGTATAATTCTCTCTATCTCTTAAAAGTAAATTTAAGGGTGTACTCTTTCAATTTGCGCCGAACATCGCTTAAACGTTGAGGAAATTCGCCATAGTGAACAAAACATTTTTAAAGCCCATAAAATTTTTCCACTTCATACTTTTCTATTCATCCAGATAAATCGATTTAGCTTTAAATAAATGAATGCCAAAATTGTTACACGACGTTTTCCAGAAGTATGCAGTAATCAGTCTGTTTACAGCTATCCATAGCAACTATGATGGTAGCAACGATAAATTAATCGTAGCACAGTTTTATCGGCAAACCGTGGAGGGGGGTGGCAGGTGACACAAATCGAGGTGAGACAGGGAGATGAGGGACAGGCTGGAGTTAAGCATGTTAAGCTGGGGCAAGGGGAGGTCAGGCGGTTCGAGGAAGGGCTGCGACATAGCAGCCAGGGCGTCTCAGGAGGACGGGAGCACACTGTACATTGAATTCATTCCTTTTTCTGCCGAATAGAAGGCTGTGACTCATAAATATCAGAGCAATGCCGGATACTTCTGTTAATGTTATCATAATTACGGGAGGCATTTTGAAAATGTGCGGTGATAACTGTTTCCGGAAGCGAACGTACTTCAGTCAGCAACTAATATGGTGATGTTATACCTTGAATTTTGTTATTGCAAGACGTTAGGACTTCCATTTTTCAAGCTTCCTTTTACCAGCGGAGTACACCACACTTGACGGCGCGTACTGTCTTTTCGATAACTAAACTCACTAGTTCGCAAGGCATGCCATTGCCCCTTTTGTATTCTTTCGAAATCAACGTCTCATAAAGCGATTGGTTGTCGACATTGTCGGGCATCATTGTGGTACTCTTCGTGTACAGGTTAAATGATACAATCTATATCTTTATTACCATAAAAATGCGATGCTGCATATAGCCTGTACAAATACTTCAATACAACTTGTGACAGAAAAGTATTATTGGCGTCACTAGGTCTATAAACAGCAAATAACTTCCGAGTGCGTTATTTTGCTATCGCCATTCTGTCATTCAATGCGTTTTGTAATACTACATTGGAACAAAAAAATCATATAAATAAGAAATAAAATTTTTCTGAATAAGTGTACTCATATGCCATCTTTACCTACGGCTCATTTGTTTCGATTGTTAACAGACAAAGCGCTGGTGGTTCTTTTTCGTAATACTGTCCGTTAATATATTTGCATAAGCGTAACGCAATCCCACAGTGAAATGAAAAGGTAATCTTAAATTACAACAACTTTTTAAAGTAGCCATTTACTTAATGTAACTGTAAAATGAGTTTAAAATGTTCTTACGATACAATATTGGCCTTCTTGTAATTGTCGCTTCTGAAGCTACGATAGTATTGATTTCAAACGGAAGATGACGTTTCACTCCTACGTATTAAAAGCAAAGGCGTTTCTTATTTATATTTTTTTTTCTTATAAGAAAATGGTATTACGAAAAGTATTAAACGACACACAACCAATATCACAAATAACAGACTTGGTTGGTGTTTATCGGTCTAATAACGTTAATAATAGACGCCGTTTAGAGTATTTTTTCGTTTCTCTCATTGAGTCTATATAATAGAGCAGTATTAAATTAAGATACAAATCTTATCAAATCAAATAACATAAAAATGTAAAAGAAAGTGCTATGTTACTGCAAATATATAATTTCAGAAGATATAACTGGTTATCCGTCGTCCTCTACATAAAGACTCAAGTGAGCAAATGTACAGCCAACACCACAGTAACATTCCCCAAAGTTCGAGACTACCTGACAACAAAGTCACAGTAGAACCAGGTCGTCAGCATTCTTTCAAAAACAGTAAATCAGGAATATAATAGTTGCTCAGCTCTCTCCATGCACAAAATTACCCGGCGTGGGAAGAGATACAAGCGAAGACGATTAATTTACATCGCTTACGGCAGGGCGTAGAAGGTAATGCTAAAGAACGGGTCTCGTACATTCTCGATGGTATCTCTCCGACGGAAATGGGTAGGTTGGTTGTGCCTCTGGGCCCGGGCACCTGAGCTTGCCAACGAGTCAGTGGACTCGGTGGCGGACTCAGCGCACACTTCACTACGCTACCTCAGCGCACTCCTCCTTCAAGGTAAACCTGCTCATTAAATCGAAAATTGCGATAGAAATTACTCAGGTGCCGCGGAGAGATGCTACGAGAATTTTCTCTTGCATATTCTGACGAGTTCCTCGGAGGCGTATTGGCGAAAGAGTTCGTCATCTTTCACAAAAATGACTAATACCATCATGGCACTCACGCGCTCATCCATATGCGTTTGTGTGTGTGTATGTGTATGTGTATGTGTAATGTGTATGTAGTGTATGTGTACGTGTGTGATGTGTATGTGTGTATGTGTGTATGTGTATGTTGTGTATGTGTATATGTGTATGTGTATGTGTATGTGTGTCATGTGTTGTATGTGTATGTGTGTATGTGTATGGTGGTGTATGTGTATGTGTGTATGTGTATGTGTGTTTATGTGTAGTGTGTGAGTATGATGTATTGTGTAGTGAGTATGTGTATTGTTATGGTATGAGTGTATGTGTGTGTATGAGTATGTGTATGTGTGTATGTGTATGTGTATGTGTATATGTGGTATATGTGTGTGTTGTGTGTGTGTGGTGTGTGTGCTGCGCGCGCGCGCGCGCGCGCGCCGCGCGTGTTGGCAGTAGCGGCGCGGCAGATATGGCCAAGATACGTTCTTGCCGCGTTTCACTGTACAGGTTTCGATTCTCTGACGCTTGTCTCCGAACAACATGCCGGCGCGGTGCAGCGTGACCTTGCGTATCATACAAGGCTGCGTTCGAAGAGTGACTTCTGGTGGCCAAAAAAGGGAATTCCCTATCCAGTTGTCACTTGAGGATGTTTCGCAGCGGAAGTCAAGCGAAACTCAACCGCAATAGCGGAAGAGACACAGTGTACAACACGTGATACGGGAATCCCATTTGGTTTTCGTTAAAGAACTGCGTTTTTCTAATTCTATGAAACGTTTTGTGCTGCAAGAAGCATCAGGAAACATACTTGAACTTACTTTTAACTGCACGTTTTTCATAATGCATAACACAAGTAGCGCAAACATAGCGCGACGTGATTGATCGTGGAGGATGATGCTTAAGATGTGGTATTCAGCCGACTTGATCTTTTTTCAAGAATTAAATATTTTTCAATTATTCTAAATTAAAAATGTTTATATTTAAAACACTAATGCTTTTAGTTTAAAAAAGAAATTTGAGCTTTCTACCCCACCATGTTTCATGTTTCTTTTCTTAAATGCAAAGAAGTGGGCCATACGTTTCTTGTCTCTTGCTCTTATTACCTGGTTTTACAGTAAAGTAATAAATTTAAATAATACATTAAAATAAACAAATGATGGCAGATAAGCGTTAATTATATTTATTTTGTCGTTTTCAGGTCATGTTAGACCAACTACAAGACTGTTGTAGTTAGTATTCGTCATTTTGTTTTGCAAGTTGCAATGGATCTATTGAAAGCAGACGTTATTTCATTATTAGCGAGAGCTACCGTGTGAGTGTGTTATTATACTTAATGGAAGGATATCATTGCGTCGAGAAGTTACAGTGGTAACACAAATATTGCGTGTTCATTACGTTGGAAAAGGTATTGTTTTTAAATTTAAAGATTCATGAGTGTATTCTTGGGCGTAGCCAGGGGGATCATGGGGGGCTGTTGCCCCACCTAAATCTTCGAACATTTACAAAATTTATTGAGTAAAAGTGCAAAAATTTCAATTAATTTTATCGATGTATTATTATTCATATTATTTCGATATGTTATATCAAAATGATATGAATAATAAATTGCCAGGAGTACATTATGCGAGGGTAT